ACCTCACACTTGTCATGATATTGATGCTTTTTTTTCTTCCACACTGGTTTTTAACTTTATGACAGATAAAACAGCTCTGACTCAATAAAGGAAAAGCATCAAACAATTTATTCTACAGTATACAAACTTGATTAATCTGAATAAATTTAATTTCTTTGATTTTTGTATTAAATACACTGTCAAACATTATTATCACATCATGAAATCAATTGAACATCAGGTCAAATCTGTATGGATAAGCCCATACAACAGTGTAAGTTATACGGCCCTGGACGGGGTCACTGAACAGGCCCTTAAATTAATACGACATTTACAAATCCTACGCCACGAGAGCGCCGAATCGTGGCATCTATGCCTAGATAGGAAGGCAGTGCGTACTAAAAATATTGTGCGACTTGGCGTTGCAGGATCCCTCTACTCCGTATTCTGTACTCCGTAGGAATGACAACGTTATAATGCATGGGGTCATGTGACTCCAAAGCACGAATGGAAGCAAGCCTCAAGGAGAAAGAAAGAACACACATCATACCATTAGGTCCAGATGACCCTGATCTTTAAATGGATAGACGGACAGCAGGCATTGTTAGCACTAATTCATTTATGACGTGCAGTAAAATAGAATGACATTATATCAGCAGCCCAAATAAGAGCTGAGTTTGCTTCCAGTACTTATGTGCTCTGGTCTCGAGAATAGCTAACTCTGTATTACCATCCAACTCAATATCCTTTTTCACCAGCTCGACAATAGAGGAAATGCCATCTTCTGCTTGGGGCCGACCAGAATTCTGCATAGATAGCGCTTCCCCCAAATAAAACACATCAAATACAAGCTGGATTTTGCGGTTTCGTAAGACCTCGGGAAAACAAACATCTGCCTGTGTTGTTGCCTTGTGGGTGGATTCTGTCACAGTAGCTTCTGTGGAATCGTCGCCGTTGGGGGTTTCGCTAGTAGGCTGCTGATCATTTTGTATAGGGCGCTTGGCATCTGAACGAGCGTTATGGGTGCTCTTTTCAAAATCAAGGGAAATGCATGACGATATCGTTTGACGGAGTTTATTTTTCAATATATCCACAGCTGAAGGGTTCCAAAGGTCGGGGCCTTGTCGCTCCATCGCCGTGGCCAGTCTCCGTAACAACCTAAAAGCCGCTGGGGATGGCTGAATGGGTAGCGGAGGGTTACCTTCCCAGAGCGCGCGACCAGCACATCCTGCTCCCTGAGGCTTCCCAAGAGCTCGGATGATAGCATAAGGCGAAACTTGAGAGCTCACCTCAGCAGCTAGTATGTCGTGTAATTTTGGAACAAGGTCATCAGCAAATAAGTGATCTTGAGCAGAAAGTGACCTGGGGATACGCTCTCGAATTTCTCGAATAACTCGTAGTATAAAAGCTGCCTGTCTCCCACAGTGCGACCCGGTCATGTTCTCTAGGGCGCTGTGTAGCGATGTTTGTAGCGCTTCGAAACTGTTAATCAAGGTCGCTTCGTATTCCTTCTGGAGAAGGTCGGGGTCATCCTTGTTCAAAATCCGAACGGTTTTTTGCAGAACCTCTTCATCTTCTTCGTCTTCAATGATATCCTCCCATCTGATCTTTTTGAGCTCGTCGATCAGGTCATTGCATTGTTCAATACCAGACAGCCAAGTAGTATAGGATCTCGATATCCTCAGTACATTCATATCTCTGCCTCGAGACCTGTTAATGATCTCGTGTTTGAAGTTAGTGGCTCCTCCTGAAAAATCCAGGAACACAATATCCAGATCCCAGAGTGATGGAGTGGGGATTTGCTCTTCAATCTCACTCCAGCTAGTAATTGTGGATAAGATCTCAAGCCCAACCAAAGTCAATCCCTTAGCTTGCGCGTGAAGAGTGGAAATAAGCTGTTTGTTCACGGTGCCACGGATGCCCTGAAGTATCTCCACCGATGAATGGCATGCCGTGGAGCTTTGGACTGGTAACCAAATGTCCAATAGGTTTCTGCGAAGCAGTAAGACCTCCTTCAAATTCTGAGATCGCTCTAAACTCGTGCTCAACCCGCTAGCGACCGTTCCAAACGCCTGTTTCGACCAGTCCTTTATTTTTTTTTCAGCCTCCAATTCTGATAAAGGAGCATGTTTCATCCATGGCGTAAAATTCCGAATGTCATTGGCGACCCATTGATGAAAGATGTCAATCGCCAGCCCATCTAAATTTCGTACCTCAACGTCATCGAGGATTGGGAGAGCGGTTAGTTTTCTAAGCGCATCCGATAGACTGCCGGAGACTAGCTTTGACGCGTTTTGTAAGGTCTGAATAAAAAGCTTCAAGCTCTTTTCAATATTTATGAAGTTTGGGTCTTCTCGCAAGAGCATGGACTGTAGCGCTTCGAAACGGACTTGTTGAAAATGACGTAGTACATCAGTAGGAGAGGAACTGGTCGCTAGGCAATAAGCTGACATTGTCTCGATTATTTCTAGGGTTGAATACTTGGGACAGGCTAGCCTGCATTCGATGCGTTTGAGTAGGCTGCGACGGAGAGCCGCCAACTGACTTCGGAGGTTTTCAAGGAAGATGGGAGCACGACTGTTTTGAGAAAGGGTCTTGTGAAGAAGTCGCGATATCACCAGGAGCTTTGCGATCAAGAGGTTCGAACTATGTTTCCGGAACAATCTATAACCGGCGGATATGCATCTATGCAGCAGGGCCAGTTGCGCGGCAATTGCTCTCTCATCTTCACCTACAACACGTTAACTACACAGAAAATGCGAAAATGTAGCCGATGCCGTGCTTGGTGGTGGTATGCGAACCTTCATCTATAACAGCGACATCCAACTTCTTCTCGACCAGCCGGGGATTGCATCTCCTACTAATGTTGGATAGCTTCGTCTCGACCTCCTGGATCTCGTCGTTCATTTCGACAATAGTCTGCGCGGTGCCTAGAAGCTCTCGATATCTCACGCTAATATGCAGGAAAAAGGGAATTAGCAAATTGCTGATATCAGAGTAGAATCAAATCTTACCCGACAAGAGAACGCAACTTGTCCTTGTTGCTGGCAACGTCGCGACGGAGGTCTTGTTCGAACCGCCGAACGGTGGGGATTGGGTGTTGAAACGCCTCCTGCCATGATTGAAGGCTATGGGCATCTGCAACATCTGTAGTC